ATACAGGCTCTTAAAAAAGCAGATAAAAAACCGTTTTTCAGCTCATAACTTCTTCAAAACTACGTAACTCATGTTGCGACTTCATAGATTAGATTCTCCTCTTCAAGAGCTTTCAAATGATATATAATATGTGGGGAACTCACGCCTCCCACGGCATGTGCTCGGGGGTGGAGTACTTCTCTTCACTAATTCTCCGCTGGCGGTCTCCAGCCAATGCATTGGAATGGGCGGGGTGGAGAATTAGTGAGAAGAAGTACTCCACCCCAGATTAGAGCCGCAAGAAACATTGAATCCCCAAGTATTATATATCATCTGAAAGCTCTTGAAGAGGAGAATCTAACCTATGAAGTGGCAATTGCTGACGTCTTCAACCAGCAAATTTATAACAATGGAATCATCGCATGATTTTTCATTATCTTATCATTCGAAATTCTGGTTCTCGGCGGTTACTGCCTGGATCGACCTACTTTCTTCGCAGTTCATAACAAAATGTACTTGAGGAAACACATAAAGTCTAGCTGAGTATCACTTACAAATACACTATTTCATTAACACGTTTATTCAAAATATTTATGCAGTTGTACTCATCGTATTTGTGGCCCTAAAGAGGACCGTTGGGTTAGAGCTCTTCAGTTATCCGAAGTCATCATGAAGCTTTGCTCTATCGTAGAAAGTGCTGAGGCGTATATGCGCCCATACCGGTGATGGCCCCCAGGTGCTCGCAGTAGGCGACGGCGACTTCCTAAAAATAAACTACTAGAATATGCTCCCAATACTTTCTTTTGCGTTCGTTTTGCTTATTTTCCTTATTTCCAGTTTCCGCAAAAAAATCAAAACCCAAAAGTCCGAAAAAAAACCGAACAAAAAAAACCAAAGACCCAAACCAACCCAAAAAAACCCAAACCCAAAGTCCGTCCTGTGCCCCCCCCCCTCTCCTGGTCAACGTTTCTGGGAGGTAAGTGTCCGGCACTACCACCTTCACTTCTGGCCGGCCAGTGGTAGCTGGAACCACCTTTACTTTTGGGGGGCCCGGCTCCACCTATCGCACCTCTGTATGCGAGCAAGGATATTTTTCGTGAAAGCTTCACAACAGGCTCAGCAAGCATATTAAACGATAGTTCCGAATATCCTTCTGTTCGCCCTTCTTGAAAAGAAGGACGGTTCTTGACGTTCTCCACAAGTCGGGAATCCTCTCCTTCTGAAGGTAGAATGTCAGGTGCGATGCAAGAATCTCGTGTAGACGTTGTCCTCCGGCTCGCTCAAATTCAAGGGGAAGGTGGTCCTGGAGCCGTAGACATTTTCAATGTCTGAATCGCCGTGCGCACTTCAGCAGGTAGAATTTGTGGTGGCACTTCTCCAGTGCTCCCAATACTTTCTTTTGCGCCACAGGCTCTCCAGTGGGAACAACGGGCATTGACACGGTATTGATGAGCGGAAGAGGTTGGTGTAGAAGTTCTTCGCGATAGATTCCATCTTGTATCGGGAAGAAGTTGGAGTCTCGTTTGATTTAATAGTGCAGCCAGCGGTCGTGATATTTACGAAGGTCTCTTCGGCACTTCTTGAGACTGCGTCTTCTGTCGGCTGCTTCGAGTATCTTGGCTTGCCTGCAGTTCCTGAGATCCACCTGTAAAGCTATTCTGCAACTGGCGTTGGCTATCAGTTGCTCGAGATAGGTTGCATACACCCTGCCTCAGAAGTCTTCTTCTTTCGAGCAATTCCTCAATGGTCTTCGAAATACATTCCAGGTTTTTATCAGAAGTCACTGAGGCGCACTCTTTGCAGGCTCGCAATCCTTTCAGGAGCTGGTCGTAGTCGTACGTTGGGTCTTGGGTCTTCCTCCTCAGATAATCGCCGGGGGCAAGCGGCCATGCGAATTTTGAGCAAGCGGGCACCGGAAAAATAGTTCGCTGATTTTTTGCGGTCCGCTTGCAGAAATTTGGAATAATTTTGGCCAATTTTTAGACGAACGCTCGAAGATCTATCGCGGTTTTTCTATACATAAGTTGCGGCACAGTGGCCGCATTCTCGCGGATTTTCCGCGAGAACATGCAAAATTATTTAGAGCCGCACGGTCCTTTTTGAAGGACCGCACAGCCCTCAGGTACTTTCCGCTGAAGGAAAGTACCCCAAACTTGGGTAATAAAACCATCGATGGCACCTCTGCCACATAGAGTCTCATCTTTTCTCGGCGTACGCCCGAAACGTAAAAAGAGTCTGAGCGCCTGCTGAAAGTTTGGCCAGCGCTCGCTGAAAGAGATTGTTTGACGAGCGCTTGCAGAAAATTTTTATTGATGCCCGCTTGCAGAAAACGCAAATACCGCCCGCTGAAGATTTGGCCACGCCCCGAAATCCTGCTGACCGCCTGCAGAAAAGCGCGAGTTTGCGGACCGCCTGCCCCCGGCGATTATCTGAGTCGCTGGGCCAGTCAAGCTTATTATGAGCTCTTCCAGCTTGTTACCTTCATAAACGACTTCCTTCGTTCTCGCGGCACTGTCACAGTCTTTCTTTTCCTGCCTTCTGTTGAGTCGTATCTTCGCTTGAAGGAGGCGGTGATCGGAGCCATGCAGAAGGATGGAACTACTGAGACATCGAACAAGCTCCACCTTCGGTTGATGAGAATGTGGTCGATCTCCCGCAGTCGTTTCGTTGGGCAATTTCCAAGTCCACCGGCGATGTTCTTTCTTCGTGAATATGGAGTTTCCATGGAAAGGTCGTGCGGCGGAGAGAAGCCCAATGAGACGGCTGCCCTTTTCGTTCCGGAGCCCATATTCAAACTTCCCGATCCTATATTCCTTTTCTAATGGCATCTTGATTTTCGCATTGAAGTCGCCCACAACATACTTGTAGATGGACTTTTCGTTGAGGACAACCTCCTCCACGTCTTTGTAAAAAGCATCTAGTTCTGAGTAGTCAGCTGCTGGTGTTGGAGAGTAGCAGTTTATGATGACGATGGTCTTCTGACGTGGACGGCGTAATCGTAGGATGGCTAGTCGAGGTGATAGGATCTCGTGCGAATCGACAAGATGAACGATAGATGGGTGGACGACGCCTCTCACATCTCTTGATGGAACCTTTTGAATGATGAAAGTCCCATCACTCATTTGTCGCACGTCCTTCTTCCTGGACTTCGTCTCCTGCAGGGCGATGATGTGGTACTTGATGCGCTCCGCAGCATCGAGAAGAGCGTGGAGCTCGGCGTTTATAGAGACTGTCCTGGCGTTGTAGGTGCAAATTATGAGGCAGTCTTTATGGAGTGTCGTCCGGGCAAACGTGTCGTTTTTGTCCAACCCAAAAGGCGCCCTGAGGACCCTGTCGTTCTTGCTACCACCCGGCGCCGTAGGCGGGATACGATGTGCAGGGTGTCTTTCTAATCTTCTAACTGGAGGAGTAATATGAATTTTCCCCTACAAAGCAGACTTACCAGGCCTGTTCTTGATTTTCAAGGGGCCATCGCTGACCCCGGACTTGGAGCGGGGGGGGGACGCCTAGCGACCAAAAAATCAGACGGCAGTGGATCTGGCCTGGCCGGCTCTTCACTAGGCATCCGGCCAGCGGACACGTTGAACTTCTTCACAGCTTGAGAGGCCCTGTCAGAGTATACCCTCGGCTGTGCATCGCAGTTCGACACCCAGTGTCACCCCCACAATACGATGAGGCGGCCGACCATTGTGGGGGCTCATTCATTCAGCCCTTCATTTTCTTTCATTATTGTGCTCATTTTGCATTTTCATTGTAATCAGCTTCTCCGGTTTGTCAAATTCTTGATAAGCCTTCCTCAATTTTGCTGTGCCAAACAGGTTTGTTATGGTGGCAACTTTATTCGTATTGGCCTAACGTTTCGACGCTTTCGTCGTCCTCAGAGGCCTAAAAACGACAAAGCATCATCCACAACATCAGACCACCAAATGCATCTTTTTGCTCAGCCAGTTTCGACTTTGCTCCAAACTAGCTGCGCAAAAATGCTCCAGACAGAAATGAACCCACCGTTGTGCCACCGCTATAGAATGAGTCCGCACCCGGAAGGAGTTGACAGATACGACCGGAAATGAATGACAGAAGCGGACGAGTGAGCATGCTTTGAAAGGCAGATAGAGAGTGTCTATCTACTATCTACAGCTCACATAGCGACAAACAGCAGGAAGTCGGTGGTAATAGACAAACACTCGTTTTTGTTATTCATCTTTGGATTTCTGGCGGAAATCCAGAAAGCTTCTAGTGCCTTCCTAGCCCAGATCTCTTTCTCGCAAGTCAAAATCTTACATCTGACTTTAAAATCACTTCCATCGTGCGCGTCGTTTTTATGTCTTCCTAGTGGTGTTACTAAGCTCTTATGTCTCATACTTGCTAAATGTTCTTTTAAGCGCACGCTTAGCACTCTTCCCGTCTCACCAATGTACAGCGCGTCGCAATCGAGGCACTCAAGCTCATATACAACCCCTACTTTTGCGCATGCCCCTTCTTTCCCATACGGACAGACTATGCATTGTTCGGTTGTGCATTTTCGATCGTACAGCCGATTTCGTACAAGCTGCTTTTTAATGTTGCTGTTTGGTATATTGACAAGAACAATCGTTCAGCAGCTGTGCGCGGGTAATGCATTGTTGGAAAGCCGAGCTTATCTTATCTGAAATATAGGGGAGGCAGAGCGGGAGTTTGTTATTGCTTTGAACGCGGAAACCCTACCACCTCAATAAACCTGTTTGGCACAGCAAAATTGAGGAAGATTATCAATAATGCCCAGGTTCAAACAAAACGGAACTTGGAAGTTCTTAATAAGCCATTTTTATTTTTAACGGTTGTGCTGGGTCAGTGGCACCTGCGGATTCATCCGCACTCATCGCTCACTTCTGTTTTTCAGCGAGAGGGCCGTAATAAAACATTATTAAGTAATCACTATGACCATGGTTTTCTATGTTGAATTGGGATCGAGTTTTCATCTAAAAATCACGGTCGTACAGACGCTGATGACATTTCAACACAAACAAATTTCTGTTTTCTAGAACGTATACACATCGAATACAAATGCTTTTGATCATTGCTACTTTTCGTCGAGTGACTTCGACCGTTTTGTTAACCCAACGCACGACTATTACCGCCGCATTGGTCTAGGGGATTTTCGTGATCAAGAACATTCTTATGCATTTCAGATTCCAATCACGGTAAGTTTTAGTTCTTTCAAATTGCTCTTGAAATACAATCACTTTTTTCTAGCAAACCTCTGGCCAAGAATTACAATCTACACCGGAAACTGATGATCTGTTAGACTTTCATGCCTTGCATATGGTAAGTTAGCAAAGTTTTACTTCGAAAGGTACTCGGCTTCTGTCGCGAATCGGGGTCCTCAGCTCCGGACGTCAGTGTCAAAGAGTATCGTGCATCGGCGACAGGAGCTGAGGACGCCACTCATGGAATGAGGTAACGACACGTGAAGAAAATAGCTAGCCTGCGCCACCTCTTAAGGCCTGCCAAGCGAATACTGATTGTGAGATGGTAGGACACACCATGGCCGGATCAGTTTCGTGGAACTAAGAGTGGGGTAGTGGGCTCAGGGCACTTACCTATCGGAATCCTGCAAAAACTATGAGAATTAAACTATGAACATTTTAGGAAATACACTAGAACTTTTTGGTTTCCATCATGAGAGGAGGAAGGAATAAACACCGTTATCAGCTCCCATTCAATAAGGGTGTAAAAACACTCGGAGAAGAGTTCGAGATCCTTGGAGGAGTTCTAATATGGGAACTTTGAGAAAGTAAATTAGTGGAGAGTGAGAACCATGTGAGGGCACTTGCCAGTAGAGGGTTCTGAGAACTTTGAGCACCCTGGCGTAGAAGGATTTCGGTAATGCATTTTGGTCTTTCGAATGCATTGACTACAGCAGCTTTAGGCAGAGGAAGGGAATGGGCAACGTTTTACACTTAGTGCTCCCATCAAAAAAAGGGTCAGAACCCACGGAGAAAAGTTTGAGCTCCTACATAGAAACTCTGATGAACTAATTTGGGAGAGAGGAAGATAAGGGACTGCGAGACAAGACAACTACTTAGGAGAGACTTCTGAGGGGAATAACATTGAGCACCCTTCTCAAAGGATTCGGGGGATGAATTTTGGCATATTCACTGGCTACAGCAGCGTTGAACAGGGAGGGAATGAGCACCTAATTCAGCGCTAACGTAAATAACAAAAAGCTGTAGCACGCAGGATGAGTACCTTTCGTAACCAAAATGTATGTAAGATCTGAGCACTAAGGTTTAGCTAAATGTGAGGCATGGACTCCTAGGTGTCATGTTCTACTCAACCATATAGTCTCTGCTTTGAAGATGCAATAAGACATCTTAATGTATTTCCACAGAGTTAGATGAAGAGGCGTGGAGGGGTGGGGGGGGGGGGGGAGGGGGAAGGGGAAGGGGGAAGGAAACGGGAACTTTGGTTATAGCAGCTTAGTTAGAGGATTTGTTGTACAAAAGAAGGAATTTTGGGCACATTCTCTACACAGATCCTAGAAGAAAGGATTTCTTTTGACATGCGAAAGCTGAGGAGGTTAAGACAGGGAAAGAGAAAGAGTGGGGAAGTTTTAGGGTGAAAGAGCTCTTCTGGGAAATGTAAACATTTTGTAAATCTCGAAATGAATGATTGCAGGATTTTAACATCAAATAATATAGATAACTAGCTGGCAAATCCGGCTCCGCACGGCCCTGTCAATTATGCGTAATCAGCATACTCACTTACTACGTGCCAATTTCCAGCCTCTTAGTACAAACTTTGCAAAAAATCCATAAAATCCATGGATGACGAAAAGTAGCCTACGGCACTCTCCTGACCTGAAGTGTGTGTGTATGCAAAGTTTAATCCGGATCGTTCAGATTTTAATTTTCTAGTTGGAACATAGTACAGACATAAGCAGATATAGGCTGCTGCATGACGAAGACGCAGTGCTTTGGACGCAAACGCGGCTTTACTAGCCGCAGAGCGCATGAGACGTAGAATTTACAACAGTGAAGATACGCGCGCGTCGCGTTCGCGCCCGCTCAGCTAATACTGCTTCTGCGCCTTCGTCATGCAGTAGCCTTTACACAGACACACACACGCAGCTTTATTTATGCAAATAGGAAACTTGGAAGCTCTGGCTGGTAGTTTTGGACAGCAAAAAAACAAGCGTGAATAAACTTTAAGCTCTTGCTCAGGAGCTTGAATAAGAAGTTTGGGTACTCGCTAAAAAAATCTCAGAAAGGCGGACTTGGCCGCTTTGATAAACGAACACTGAAGGAGCGAGAAAGTGAGAGGCAAAAAGTGGCCATCATGTAAATTAAGGAAGGAACTAACTCGGTCCCTTCCAAGGCTAGGACATGCAATAACTGTGGGAGTCAGGAATGTAGCTGGACAGGTTCTGGGAAGGAAGAGGAAGTGGGCATAGGGGGCACAAGGCTTCTTACATAGAGAGGGAGATACTTGGAGCAACTGGCATGAAAGGTTCTGCTTTGTTGTTTTCGCATACATTGTCTAGAGCAGCTTTGGGCAGAAAAAAGGAATGGGCAACGTGGAACTCAGCGCTCTCATTCAAAAAAAGTTTTGGAGCAGGGAAGCTGGGGCATTTTGGCCTAAAGACCGGCGGGGAAAGGCTACAACATGGGAAGTTTGAGAAGATAGCGAGAAAGAGTTGAGACGACAGGGCACTTGAGAGAGTTCTGGGGAAAGGGAGGATTTCGACATTCGGTCATAAAAAAAAATCAGGGAATGGATTTAGGTGTTTTAACATGCATTGATATCTGTCTTGGGCAGGGAGAGCAATGAGCACGAATTCAACGCTCTATCGCAAAATTTTGGAAGGGAAATGTTTGGTTACTTTAATCAGGAAACTCACCGAAAAGAGTCTGGGCTACTGGAAGACGTAGTAAAGGAGGGAGAAAGAGTGGAACGGTGTCAACTAGCTTCTAGAAGGGCATCTTAAAGGGGATAATTTTGGGCACTTTGGCCATAAAAAGCAGGGGTGTATTTGCTTGTACTAGTTCTTGGTCGAAAGCTGGAGGCACGTCCACTGCTTTAGTGCATCATTTTAGATGGTGAGTGCCAATCTGATGCGTTCCTCGGCATTACACAAGGTCGGTGGTTCACCGGTAATGTTAGGTTGATTTAGGAGTTCTGTCGCTTGGACTTTTAAAATTTGTATATAAAAAATCTTATCAAAAAGGAAATCTCATCTACTTTCTAGTAATATTTTTGCTATTTTTTGGCAACAAGGAAATGCAAAGATAAAATTTAGAAAAGGAGAATCATTAAACTCCCGATTTTCAACAATAAGTCCTCAAAAATCCGAAGCGCCACAGAAATATCCGAGACCATCTTTTTGAAAGGTTTTGTGAGCTGCTCTAAATTTGTGCTGATCGAGCTTTTCAATGAAAAGTTTTGATTTTCGTGAAAAATACAAAAACGTCACTTTTGCCATTTTTTGCATTTTTCACGAAAATCATAACTTTTCACAGAAAAGCTCGCTTAACACAAACCTGGCACTGCCAGAAAGGCCAGTTCACAAAAAGAAACATGCTCCCAGATTTTTCTACAGCATTTGAGATTTTTGACTATTTGTTTTCAAAAACCGGGACTTCGGTTGGTTTTCCTTTTCTCATTTACAACTCTAGTCTGTCTTCAACTTGTAACTAGCTTTTCAGCAATTCTCAGAAAAATTTCCAAAAGTCTTCACTTTGTTTTTCACGAAGCTGTAAAATACACAACAGCTTCAAACTCTGATAACACTTCGGAAGTTAAAGTTCCTAAAAACATCTCATGATTCAACGCTTTTTGCAAACAAATAAGCGTTTAGCGGATCCTAATATTGGATTTGATTTCACTGGGTACAACCTGGGACGAATCTGGAAACAAGGATTATAATATTTTATCCTACATAAAGAAAAGAAGCAGTTGCATCGAATGACGTCCTAATTGCTCGCTTTCTTGATCTGCGAGGATTGCGATGCCCTATGGAAATGATAGCATCGGGAGAATATTTTCAAAAATTTTAAGAAGCCAGATAGAGGTTACAAAAGAATGTAATGTTATAGGGTTTCGTTGAGATCCCGCGGAGATCTACGACCAGAGCCAAATGCCCCATCGGCGTCTCCGCGCGCTCCGCGCTACCTCGCTACCCCAAACGCGGGGCGCGGGGCACTTGGCTCTGGTACCCCTTCCTTCGTTGTTTCAAACCCAATTTTAGCAAGCTATATATCATTTGAAGCTCTTGATCTCTACTTTCACGCTGACAACGTCCCAAAACCATATTTTTTTTATTTGAACGCCAGCAGAACCCTGTTTTCGAAAACTCTTGTTTTTCATCTGGTTTAGCTCCTTTTAGGCGGTTTTTTCGTGCCTTCTGTGAATCTTGCTTTGTTCATAATGCAGACAACGACCCAGCGCATCTTACATCTTTAAAGTGGACTTTTTGGACAAATTTAAAAAGTGCGTTTTTTTACCCTATTCTGTTTTATTCGCAGCGATTTTTTCCAGCTTGGACCATGATTGCTCAGAACAATGAGCGCAACAATTTAGACAACGTCCCAGAAAAAGGGAACTACAATCTGGGGGTAGAATTTGAAGGACGCACCAAAAACTAGGTTGGCTTTGTCTCGCATTTCGATTTGATAAGAGCAAAACTCGGTCCCAAAACTAATTCTTTTCTCGTTTATATTCTCTTGATAATCGTTACTTTCGAAACGTGGTTAGTTTTGGAATAATCACGAAGAAAAAACTAGCTTTTCCTCGTTGTGCCTCATGTTGTGGTGCGTGGTCCTGGGGCGAAAACGTGCAATGCCGCTAAATGAAAGATTTTAAACTTATTGCAGCGTTTTATTCGATTCAAAAGTTTCTTTTGCTTCTTATAACTCTTTTGCATCTTTTTTCCTCTCTGGTTTTATATGAACAACCTTCACTTTTTACGAGGGCCAGATACTCAAACAACCTTTACTTTTGTGGCTTTGTCTCTAGACTATCGAAACTATGCTGGAGAGCGCGAAAATGGCAGAAAAGGGCTGTAAAACAGGAGGGAAAGTAGCAAGAAGCGGAGTCTTTTGCTCTGTGAAGTCAATCTCCCAATTTTAGGAGCGATCTTTTCGGTTCCTAAGTTGCGCGTTCACACTTAGATGGTGGCGATGTTAGGGCGGCTGACAAAACGAGAAGATTGCACTTGAAGCTCAATGTGGCTTCACAGAATGGAAAGCCGCGCCCCACCTGCTGGTTCCCCTCCTGCGTTAGAACACTTTTTTCCGTTTTTGCGCTCTTTAGCGTGATTATCTGCAAATCTCAAACTGCACTCCTTGTTCGGACACTGCCTTCCATGTTTGAAAGACATTGTGCTTGCATTTATGAACATCGTCTTACTTTAGTGAGGACAGTGGAAACCAAAGAAATCATTGGTCAGCTAAAAAAGTATTGCTGAAAAATTTGGGATTGTCTTGCAGAACGGCATTACACTTCACCCATACAAGTGCTGTTGGGGAGTATGTGAATTGGAATTTGGAAACATTGAGGAGTTGCAGCGCCATGCAGGTATGACTAGTTTCTGTATGTAATACAGAAGAAAATTTGCTTTTTCAGAGAGTCACGTGGATTTGAAGTGCAGGAGATGCGAGTGGCGAGAATGCAATAAATACACGGACTGCTATGCGCACAGGTAGGAGGTGCGATGCATTGTTTCTTTTTTCAAAACTGCGTCTCAGATATCTTCTCATACGACACTTGCGTTCACATACAGGGTCTACTCCATATGCTTGCGAACAGTGCGGTGCCCGTTTTTCTACGCGCGAAAGGTTTAGCTTACAATCAATTTCTTCGTGATTTGTCGCGTTGCATTGCTTCTTTTTTGCAGAATACGACTTCACGTCCGTGCTGTTCATGCTCCCGAAGTAAAATACAAATGCGAAATTTGTGACAGGTTCTACAAGACAACTTCGGAACGGCGTCATCATATGGTCCGGACCCACATGTGTATGTTTTCCGTTATAGGTATATCCAATTGTAACGTAATTTTTAGTGGAGCGGCTCAGTTGTCAATATTGCGGTGGATTATACGCTGGGTCTACTGTTCTAAAGCGCCATCTAAAAGTGTGTAAAAATAAATAGATTATTATTACTTTCTGCTAAAGTTACGGAGATTGCTTGCAGAAAAGTCTACCTTCGTTGAGAGCTCATGTTACATCCGAGCTGCTGTCTAATAGTTGTGTGCCAATCGTAAAGTCTTTTTTTAGTGGAGCTGTGAAGATTTTCAATAATGTGTGAAACTGCAATTTTCCAGAAGGTTGAAGATAGCACGTTGGCCTTTTACGAAGCACATTTAGTGCTTACGCCTAGACATGATAATATCAAAGCAACAAACGAAACTAAGAGAATACTGGAAAACAACAGTCCTATGCGCTCATCGTTTGGGTTTTTGCTGATGTGTGCATCTGCACGCATTGGCGGAAAACGTTAGATTTAAATTAAGTTTCAAGGGTATTAAAGAGCGTAGTTGAGGCAAAACATAATAATTTGAACTGGCCAAACTTGTCGTGTGCTTGCCTTGTATGCATAAAATCCCATCTAGAGAGAAAGGAGGATTTCATACAGTGCCCGCTGGCCAGCTTATGGGTACCCCGCGGCGCACTTAGTCATTGGACGCTTTTTGTTGGACATGCATGTTTTTTCTTGTCATTTGCTCAACATGTACAAATCTACGTTTGTTTCGAAACAAATCACAACTAAGAGGAAGAGGGCAAAGAAAGAAAGCAGAAAGTCACCGATATTTGAGATAGTTAGAAGTCGGGTTATGAGGCGTCGCGCACAGGGCTCGGCACAGGGGGCTTACGAGGCAGGCTGGAATCTGTTTTGGAGTAAAATGCAAAGGGGATGGCGTTTTTGCGTTTTCTGGGGCTGAGCCCGATGATACCTGTTCTAGCTGAGCTTGATGTATATGAAAAACTAGCTTGCTTACCCGCTCGGCTCTGTCAAAACATTGTAATAAAGTTCCCATCCCTGTCCCTGTACAGCCTTTCCCTGTGCCCACTTCTACACTTCATTTCCCGTTCTTCCCTGTGCTGCCCATGCCCACTTACCCCCCCCCCTCCCCCTGCCAACTCACAGCCCTGTAGCTCAAACTTTGCGAAAAATTGATAAAATCGATCAAAGTAATCGATAATTCTGCAAAGTAGTATTGTATTCGGAATCGCCATGCCCACTTACCCCCTTCCCGTGCCAACTCCCAGCCCTGTAGCTCAAACTTTGCGAAAAATTGATAAAATCGATCAAAGTAATCGACAATTCTGAAAAGTAGTATTGTATTCGGAATCGCCATGCCGTCTTACCCCCCCCCCCCTGCCAACTCACAGCCCTGTAGCTCAAACTTTGAAAAAATCGATAAAATCAATAAAACTAATCGATAATCCTGTTAATTAATATTGTATTCGGAATCACCATGCCTACTTACCCCCCCCCCCCTGTGCCAACTCCCAGTCGCGTAGTTGAACTCTGCCAAAAAATCGATAAAATCGATATCGATCGATAACGAAAAGTAGCCTATGACACCCGCCGTCTAAGGCATACTTCAGGCGATTTGGCCAAATCACCACTTTCACGCGACTTGACTATTTGCCATACTTCTACAAATTTATCGTGCGCGCTTCTCGAATGCATAGGCGGGTAGCTTGTGTAAGTTGTTGCAATTGGGTTAAGTTCTGACCAAAGGAAGCGCATTAAAGACGAAACAGAGAGTCGCTGTTATGCCAAATCGCGCAGCGACAGAAATCGCGCGAGGTATGCCTTAGGCCTATCTTGCGAGCTTCCTCTCCCCTCCGCTCATTCCCGATCCGACTCCACAGGTCGGGCATGTCTGACCCCAGGTTTGACCCTATCGTTAGCGCCTTTTCTCACTTTACGGAGGATACCTGGTAGGGAGTCAAAGTTGGCATCTGCTCAAAACTTTGCCTAAAAGGGGGGGGGGGGGAGGAAGGTAAAAGTTGGAAGTTTGAATGTGTATGAGGTGACAATAGCGATATGGTAAGTTTTTCTGCTATTGATGAATCTTATATATAAAGCTGAATGTCTGTTTGTGTGTCTGTGTGTGTGTCTGTACGTATGTTCCGAGAAGAAAATTCCATTTCTCAACCAATCCGGACCAAACTTGGCACACATACACTTCGTGTGTTGGTGAGTTTCTTTGCTGAAAATGGCTCTTGATAGTGCGTGCACATAACCCCACCTGCACCTCACCACTGAATTGCACCGCTTTGCGGGCTTATAGCTCGGTCGGCAGTCATTCTACGAGCCTGCAAACAGGCTCATTCGAAAGAGCGTGACTTTCTCTACACGATGGGATGCAAATGAGTTCAGTTTCAGGAATAACAGAGGTTTGGCAAATGGGGTGACAGAGCGCAGCTTCTGCGGTATGGTAAGGATTTTTCAGCAGAAATTCAGCAGAGCTCCTTTCGCTACTAGTTCCATTCTGGAAGTCCAAAGCCGTCAATTTATATGTAATATATCCATTCGAGCTCTAAAATTCTTCTGGCGTTGATAAGAGACTTCACTCCAGTCACCTCTAAGGCTGCGCTCTGTCACCCCATCCGCCAAATCTCTGTTATTCCTGAAACTGAACTCATTTGCATACCATCGTGTAGAGAAAGTCAAGCTCTTTCGAATAGCCTGCTCGCAGGCTTGTAGAATGACTGCCGACCGAGCTACAAACCTGCAAAGCGTGCAATTCAATGGTGAGGTGCAGGTGGGGTTATGTGCACGCACTGTCAAGAGCCATTTCCAGCCAAGAAACTCATCAACACACGTCCGATGCATATAGGCTGGAAAGCATCCATTTTAGTCGAACAGCTTTGTTAGGATGTCTTGAATAGGTTTACATGTGAAGAGATTTGGCTTGAAAAGGGATTACAAGTTATTTTTTGAAAAAAAGTGAAATAAAATTCAAGTTTGGTTTTTTTGGAAATAACCAGTATCTGATTTGTCCTCGATGAGCTCTATAATGTAGTATGCTTACCTGCTTGTGTTTCCACTCAAAAATAGGACCCAAAAGGAAATTTTCGCGTTCAAAGAATTATTGTCCGCGACATTGTGACGCGGCCATTTTCGGACCAGGGCCCGGCACGACCAAATGACAAGCTGGAAATCGTTTTGGGGCCAAAAAGCAAAGGAGATATCGTTTTTGCGGGATCCGGGGCGGAGCCCCGGAAAAAGATTCCAAGTGCAAGCAAAAGAAGCTCGAATCATGCTTACCTTTTACATCTAATTCATTGGAAGATAGTTTTCATAAACCTTAAAGGCAGTGTCTCACCAAAATTTAGTTGCCGAGATTTTTGCACTTTGCAAGCTTGTCGGACCCTGTCTAGCACTGTATGCGCTCAAAATCGCACGAAGTTCCCAAAAACCCCGTTTTCTGGAGGCCCCTTGGAAGTGACGTGGACGAGTTGTGCCTTCCAACTTCAGCCTCAGCCACAGCGGCAGCAACAGAGGGGAGGTGGATGCCAAGTGGAGGGACGTGTTCAAACGCGTAAGGGGTGAGACCGAAGGAGTCGTCCGCGCGTACCAACTTGCTCTCCGCGTACCACTTTGAGCGAATTTTTTTTTCAGCATGGAGGGGGTCAAAATGAGTGGAACTTGTTGCAATGGCCTATTTAGACGTCCCTATAATATAATATGTGAAGATCCGCGCGACCTCAACTTTGGTGAGACATTGTCTTTAAGGGGGTATTCGTAAAAACTATTGGGATCAAAGGGGAATTCGTTTTGGAAAACCACGTTTGCCCACCTCGTGCCGGGCCCTGTTTCGGACTCTTCTTAGGAAAAGATGTTTAAAATTTTCAAAATGCATGTTTTCCAGAAAGCACAATGTGTGAGTTGTAGCTCTTGAAGAGTTCTATCACCTCAATCCATTCAATTTTTCACCTTTGTTTTCCATCCGAAAATGAGAGATGAAAAAAGGAAGGCGGTTTGTCCGCAACTTTTTGGCGGTCACTATATATATATTATATATATTATATATATATATAGCCACTTCTACACTTCATTTTCCGTTCCTTGTGTTGTTTTCGAAATCAGCATGTTAGTTCACCCCCTATGCCAACTCTCAGCCCTTCAGCTTGAAATTTGCAAAAAATTGATAAAATCGATAAAAGTATAGTGTGGACCCCGGCCAGCTTCCCATAGGTACCTGCGCGACGCATCCGCAACGCACGCCTTCAGCGCGCCTCCTGTCGATGGAATTCCTTGCCTTTCTCATTTTCTTGTTTTTGTTTTACTATATTCCCCCTATTTCAGGTATAAACAATTCGCATAACCGGTGACGAGGTTCCACGCGCTCTACTAGGCCTGAGAGCTTCGGTCTTGAGTACTAGTCTTGTGTTTTTCCCTTTTTTTTGAAAGATTGAGATTTGAGGTGTATTCTAAGAGAATATTCCTCCAAAGCTTTTTGTATTAAATAAGAGTCCCTCTCGACTTGATTTTTAGAGTGTAGATAGTGTATCAAGTCAAATTAAACCTTTCGAGAAGCCGGTAGGGATTTGTTTACGGAAATATCCACATTTCTTGAGTTATTTTACCATTCTAGTTTCTAAATCTACAAGAGAAACGTTTTGAGAATGCGGTTGTTCTTTTTCTGCTCTACGTTTACTTATTACCGCTTTTCCATCGGTGCAAGTCTGAAATTTGCAGCCATTGATTGAATTCGAGGTACTAATGGAGGTTGCGTGCGTTTTATTCTTGTATACGTTTCTTTCGAGATGTTTTTACGGATTTCCACTTCTCAATTCTCTTCTATGGTGCGTAGATGTGCTCTATTGCTCATAAGTGAGGTGAAAAGTACCAAGAAATGCACGCGCTGCGGTTGCGCCGCGGAGTTACCTATAGGAAACTGGCCGGGGTCCACACTATAATAGACAATCATGAAGACTGGTATTGTATTCGGAATCAGCATGCCCACTTACCCCACTGTGCCAACTCCCAGCCCCGTAGGTGAACTCTGCAAAAAAATCGATAAAAATCGATAAAATCGATATCGATCGATAACGAAAAGTAGCCTACGACACGCTCCCTGCCCCGAAGTGTATGTGTGCCAAGTTTGGTCCAAATCGGTTCAGAAATAAAAATTTCTATGCCGCACATACGTACATACAGACCAGTGGCGTACCGAGGGGGGGGGCGGGGGGGCGCGCCCCCCCCCCCCCCCGAGAACGGGTCGCGAAATTTTTGAAAATTACTTACATGCGCTATAAAAATGTGCAAATGACTTGTTTATTTTTGTA